CTATTCCTTTCCTAAATTTGCTTTGAAAGACCATTGAAGGTTGCTTAGCCACTAACACAGAACTTAGTAGGCAAGTAAATTGTATTAGCTGCAAAATCTTGTCTGCCAGACTTATAGAAGCATTATGTGGGCTAGTGCTGAGCATAAAGGGGCTCTGGAGTCTCTGCCTACAGGAGAACTCTGGCACTTCAGGCACACAGATGGTTGTTCAGTGAAAGTGAGCATATGTCCAAGAAATAGTGGCCTATTCCATCTGCATCCTTCTGACTAATGTTCAAGTTTTACTGAAGAGATTGGGTGAAGGAGGCATTGAACAAAGCCTGTGTCATGCAGAATTTCCAAAGAAGTAATTGCAGCCATCCATGTTGATTTAAATACTCATAAATCTCTGAGATGTTAGGAAGTGTTCTAGTACATCTTTGGTTTGATGTGTCTGTCTCCTTCGCATTCAGGATAAATCATGAGTGAGAAATAAGCTTAGACTTACACCACAAGGTAGAAGTACTCTTGTGCTGTTACTTAGAGAGTAGTACCATGACTGCTGGACATACAGAGAACTGATGGTTTCACAATAACTTTGTTTCCAGACGAGATGACAATTCAGAAAATGAGTCTGAGGAGGAACTGGATCCAGGGCTCTTCCAAGGCTGCGATAAAAATCAGCTGGAGCAAGAAAACATGACTTCTAGATGTCAAATCATAACTGACTCAAATGGTCCTTTTGTAAAGTGTCATTCTGTGGTCTCACCAGATTTCTATTTCACGTGAGTGTCTATTTGCAGACAGTTGTTCTCCCCATTTGCAAAATAATGTTTGTGCTGTTTTCTGACAAGAACTTTGCATCTTCAGTCGCCAGGATATTGATAGGAATTGAGAATAGTAAGTGTCTTTGGAGAATTTGGCCCAGGGATTAAATTATTCATATATATAAAGCCCCTTATTTATTTTTAAAAAAATTGTGAAGATCTGTCTTCCACATTCAGTGAGAATTTGGTACTTGGCTCTATTAGTTTCCATTTATCAATTCTAGCTTCATAAAATCTAGCCTTCATGCTATAGCCACAAAGGCTGAAGCTATCATTGACACTTCTTGAATTTCTCATGGAGGAGTGCAAAACACAGATTAGTTGAAACTAACTCTCCTGGTATCTTCAAAAACATTTCCCCTGCTGTTTTTCAAAGGTGTTCTAACCTCCTACATAAACAATTCCTACACATCTAATTTTGAGCTGTATGAAACCTGTTGATTCGTACCCATATTCATTCTTCATTTGTCATCAGCCACAAAACTCCCAAGCAGTTGCCATTTTCTTTAGTCAAATATTTGTACCTAATGTTTTAATATAGATAATGCCCACCTCAAAGTCTCTCTTAGCTGTGGAAAGAATGTGAAGGTATCTTAGGCCAAATAAACTGGACCACTCACTTCAATGTATATCCTGATTCTTAACACAAGCCCCCTATTCTCCTCACTCTAGAATTTGGTGGGGTAGCCTGTTCTGCCTTCTTAGTGGTTGCTTGATTTTTCTGAGGTGCTACACACCTGCAGATCTCATTCATTTCAGATCTCAATGCCTCTGAAAATCAGGCTGTGGATATTTAGATGATGAGCAAAGCTGAGAAGGTAGCACTGACAAACAAACACAAGTAAAACAGAATTCTCTGTCAATATTCAAGTAATATGGACATGGGAAAGGCACCCATGGATTGAAAGAAGTGTGAAGTTAATCTATCACTTAGCAGCACTAAAAAGTGCTCTACAAGCAAGGTGAACCCATCCTAGCCCCAAACAGAAGCAGGTAGCAAAGATTAACTTACTGTGACTAGCAGCTAAGTACCTGTTTATTGTCTGTTCATATATGAATACCTCACATGTTATCTGTAGCTGCATAACAAATGACCTGATCTTCCCAGTCGTGTGGCTGGAATTTTTTTATTCTTCTGTTCTCCTGTCAGCCAGGTACAGGAAAACAGAAGTAACTCAAAGTGAGGCAGAAAAGCTGCTGAAAAAAAAAAATAACACTTTCTCATGTTGCACACAGGAGCTGCCTGTTTGATATGTGTGTGTCAGGAAATGAGGATGATACCTTGTGTCACAGTCTGGAGGAATACGTGCTGGCTTGTCAGCAGCAAGGAGTCACTATGGAAGGCTGGAGGCAACAGACAGTTTGTGGTAAGCACAGGAAGAAACAGGAAGTAGTTTCTGCCTCAAGGATCCTCAAAATCTGAGTTTTGAGGCTTTTCCTACACACACCATATATCAGAGCTTCTCGGGGAGTAAAAGCATGCTGATTCACACTTCGATCACTGCTCAGTCTAGCATGCACACTTGCTCTTCTGGCCTCTCTTCTGTGTCCTGTGCTGACTTTTGCATTTAGAGCCCAGCTTAGAAAGCTACTTAGGAAAGCAGATCTGTCAGCTCCCCTGTCATCAGAAGTTTTGTGAGAAAAAAAAAAATGTCCCCACTCCCAAATGAGCAAAAAAGTTCCCATTCTGGAGACCATCATAAGCCACAAATCCAAACAATAAACGTTTTATGTCAATCTCTTTTAAAATCTACAAAGTATTATCTTTTTTTTTGCCTGTAAAATTTCAAGATAAAAAAGATTCAGAAGAAAAATCCAGATCTTTCAGACTAAAAAATGCTGAAATAAAACCTATAATAATTTCAAACCTTATTACCTTTTTCTCCAGATACGTTTTTGTTTTGTGATATTTTTTTTTAAGTTGGCAGATTAATCAAACCATACTTCCTCTGCATCACCCATGCTTAGAGGACTTGGTATTCCTGGGGAAACAGCTCTGTATATGTATGGTGTCTGTGCATCATATTGCCTCCTTCAAAATCCTAATGTCCTCTGGATCTCCAAGGGCATTGTGTACCAATGAACAACAGCCAAACTCTTCTTACTTTTACAGGTTTATCATGTCCTGCCAACAGCAAGTACAGCTCATGCATGTCTGCGTGCCCAGCATCCTGCAGTGACTTGACCAGCCCCTCTGAGTGTGAATCACCTTGTGTTGAAGGCTGTGAATGTGTCCCTGGTTATGTTCTCAGTGGCTCTGCCTGTGTGCCTTACAAACAATGTGGCTGCACATACCTTGACAAATATTATGAGGTACAGTCTTTCCGTGGGTCAGACAGCTTCCAAGCCCCAAACAAGATTTTCTTCTGCTAATTATTTTGACAATTTCCTCATTCTCCTCAGCCAGTTATTTTGCATTAGAAACAAAGAGTTGCTAGTTTAAATTAAAATCAAGTTCTGATATCTGGAGAAAGGGAAGAGAGAGCAGATCACTTGGTCTGCCTCTGAAATTCTGCCTGCCAGAATACTCAAGGCAGGCACTTGGAGAAAATATATGATTATACTCTGACCTTTACCCCACTGGGACTAGGATCTCATATCCCAAACTCTTCTCTTGCCTTCTTTTTTGGGCCATCCGTGATTTTTAAGGAGTTGCATTAGTACGTTACTTGCTTTCTTTTTTTTTGTACAAACTGCTAAAAAAAACCCTCTGCCTTGTTGTTATTCACCAGGAAGGCATCAGAGGGAGTAGCATGGGGCCCTAGTGCTTCATTCATGGTTATTCTGGCTGATTTTTATATTTTTCAACATTTATCTGCTATCTTCCAGATTGGAGAAACCTTCACCACTGATGACTGCTCTCAGAGATGCCAGTGCACAGAAAGCTCCACTGTCTTCTGCTTTAACATAGCGTGTGGATCTGATGAAATCTGTGGCATTTCAAACTACAGTCGGGGCTGCTATAGGAGTGAGTCAACCACTATCACACTGTCTTTAATGCTAAGAAGTCTTGACTTACTGCTTATAGGACATCACTGGGTTGGGGATAGTTGCAACAGAATTGTCAGGAAAAAACTTCTTTACTGTGAGAGTGACAGAGCCCTGGAACAGGCTGCCCAGAGAGGCTGTGGAGTCTCCTTCGTTGGAGACATTCAAGACCTGCCTGGACACGTTCCTGTGTGATGTGGTCTAGGTGACCCTAATCTGGCAGAGGGGTTGGACTAGATGATCTTTTGAGGTCCCTTCCAACCCCTAAGATTCTGTGATTCTGTGATGTGTACAGAAGAAAAGTATACCAGGGATCTTGCTATCATGTTTCACTGTAGCAACAGAATTTCTTTCCCTTATTCCTATTGCCACATACAAGTCATGTGCCTTAAAATAGAGAGGATTTCCAGCATTAGGAGTCAGTGTCATCTAAGCAGGACTAGTTCTCTGAGAGTCTGAACTGTTTCTTCTTCCTTTATGCTAGGTGGACCATGTATGCCAGATCCTTGCATGAATGATGGTGTGTGCTCTGAAAACAGCAACAGCACATCCTTCCAGTTCTCCTGTGAATGTCCAGAACTATACACAGGACCAAGATGTGAGGCTGAAAGGACAGGTAATAAAACTATTGAGAATTTCACTGCATTAAACACATAATTTTCAAAAATGGGTGTGTCATCATGGAGAACACTGAGCTTGCTTTTTATTTCCATGCTGTAAATTACTAACCCAGTGAGTGAAAACCATGCTCATCCAAGCAGAAAGAAGGGAATCAGATTCCCCAGTGGAGACCTTCTAGAAGGCATGATAGCAGGGCCCTGTAGGGTATATAGGACCTGAGTCTGACACTGCTCCATGAAGCCACATTCATCAGAGAACACGGTATAAACCAAGGAGATAGAGCAAGGGCTGAGAAAAAAATTCTCCTCATAGTAAACTGTATGATTAGCTTTCACTGACAGGGCTCTTATTTCTTCTTCAGTTGAAGAACCTTCCACTGAGAATTCTGAGGACCATACAGTTGCCATTGTCATTGGAGTTGTGGCATGCATGGTTGTTATTGTCATTCTCATCTCCTCTACAGTGTACCTGTACAGGTAAGGCTTCTCCCAGCTTTGCTACATTCAGCAGAGTGAAGACACTCACACCCCTTTTAGCACCTGTAACCCTCTGAACTCCTATTAGTCACATACCTGTGGGACCACAGAGGAACCACAGCATTCAGGATCTCATGTGAGGAACACGAAGGAAAACTTAGCTTCTTCTACAGAAATGGACATATGCCATTTCCTTTACACAGGGCATATGCATCACTATCCCCACACTTGGGCTTCTCCAAAATCTGAGTTCATTCATGCTTGCATCATTATTTGACCTCTCATTGCAGCTAAGAATAGGAATTTTAAATGGTTGTTGTTATTGATTTTTTCCCCATTGTACAGAAGGAAGAGAAAGACGGATGAAGTTACAATATCAAGGGATACTTCTTTGAAAAGGTTCAGGCATGTATTGGATGAGAGAACACATGAGCAAGATTATGGCTACATTGTAAATGCTGCATTTGACCAAAATGAATCCCAAAATGCTTAACTATAGTTAGAATGTTTTTCCAATGTATTTGTATTACTTTCTGCTCTGGTATTTTAATAGTGTTTCTAATACTTTGAGAAGAAATAATAATAAATAAATCATTGCATACACTGAAAACCTTTGAAATTGTTCATGTAAAATGTGTCTCTGATCCAACGTTGTGAACCCAAAACGAAATATGTCCTTACTCATATAAGAGACTGTGTTCTCTTCAAAGGTTGTTTGAAAAACACAGCATCCAGACAGAATTTTCCAGCACAAGTGTGCTGCACACTATCACATACACATCTCTGATAGATGTACAAATCATAGACTGACGCAGTCAGAATTAATTGTAGCATCCCAGGCAGGTCTTCATGAGATCATCTTACCCAAATCCTTCCATGGGGAGGAGATTAACTGACAGAGCTAGACACAGTTCTTACTCTTTTTCCAACAAGGCATGTTCAACTGGGGAGGGAAATATATATGACACTGAGCTCATCTGGTGAAAGGTGCAGTAAAAAGGCTGACCCATCACTGTCTCCCTTGGGAGTGATAAAGGAGATCTGCCTCCTTGCTGTCAGTTTGGAGTGGACAAGAAGGAGGGTTGTCACCAGCCTCCATGGGACTGAGCAAGAGCACAACTTCATAAAAACTTTTTGAATAATGAAATCCTGTCAGAAACTTTCCTTGGGGTCTTTGCAAGCTGTGAAGCTGCCACACTCAGATCACTGTGAGTAGAGATCTGCATCGACTCCATCCCAGACTATGCTAAGGACCCCCCTTACAGCAGAAAAATGAAGATCTTCATGACAAAGCCTAATGACACAGTGTGCAAGACACCCACCCCATGGCAGACCACTGTTACACCCCATCCTACAGATAAAGAGGGCTCTGATTCATAAATCCCCTTGGTTGGATTAAGGTGAAATGACACTCGAGGTCTGTACTTGAACATTAGTTTAAGTAAAACTATAGAAGGAACAACTCATAAAGGCTGATACTTTTGATTACAAAAAGCATGATACCTATATGCCAAGAAAGTGTGGTAGTTTTTGTGTTACTCAATGATTTTAGGAAGGAAAAGGGAGAGAGAAAGAGAGGGAATAGGAGAAGAAAAAGCAGAGAGATCACCAGTTCTGGACCCAGCATTGGGCCAGCCAATGGGGGGGTTCGGTGTGGAGACCAGTCATTGCAGAAATGGGTGCTATGTGGTCAATCCACAAAGTTAGCCCTTAGGGATTTTATTTCCCAGGTTTATACACAAATTCACACATAGTATAAAATGATTTGATGTCACGTTCATTGGTTCTTAATTACCACATCATTTACTGTTGTCCCTGCTTGCTATATAAACTAGCACACATGGTCCTTGCAGGTGTCCTGAATTGGGTCAGTGGTCACAACCTCCCACCCGCTGTCTTAGTCTCCCCAGTTACCACAAGTTTTGCTGACTTCATGCCTTGGGGCACAATGTTTCCTTTGTTATCTTTCAAGGTTCCTCCTCAGGAGATTAATGGTTATTAAGGTATGCAAGCTAGAGTCTTCTTAACTCAGTCCTGTAACTCTTCAAGGCTGTTATAAAGGCCATTAGTAATCTTCCCTTTGTCATCAGTTCCTCCCCTTTTTTGCTAGCAAGGACCACTCCTTTCCAACAAGTGCCATTTCAGGACAGAGTCCAAAAAGTTTCTGTGAGTGTTTGAAACATTTACTGATAGACTCCAGGCAGCCTCCACTCCACAAGTTGGTAGGAGTGTCAGAACCACTACCTGGGTGGACCTATCCCTTTTTTTGTTCTCCTACAACCTCTCACAAGGCTCAAGGGATTGAGGCACTACCTGGGCCATCTACAAGCCCTGAACGAATTTCCAGTGCTGTGAGTGAGGCTTTTAGATTTAAAGAATGCACTAGTAAGTTTTTGCTGATGCTTCTCCAGTTCTTTGAAGTCTCACTTTTGATTACAGCGAAGGCTTCCTGTTGCTTCTGCCAATAGTGCTGGCTATTATTTACTTACCCTTTCCTCATTCCCTTCTACCCATAAACTCATGTATGCTGTTAGCCAGAAAAGTATTTGTAACCTCCATGAACAGTTAGATAGATAAAAGGCATTTTATGCTGGTCCATTCAAGAACACACCAGCTGTCCATACACGCCCAGAACAGCTATTTTGGAGAGCATGTGAATGGAAAGGGGCTTTCAAGCCTCATTACATAATGAAAATGTATCAGCGCAAGGGACCTACTTGTGCACAAATCAACTGTCAACCTTATGCTGGAATTGCATCACGATTATAAAAGCATCTTTCCTGCCAGTTCAGCAGCAGCTTCCCATTGTGCCCTTGCAGTTGCCAACAGTGCGATTCCCTGCCTGGAGAACAGTGCCAACCACACTCACCTCCCCTTCCAGTGGGTGGGAGCACAGGCCAGTCCCTACCCCGTGGGACCGCAGCCCCAGCTCTCCCAAAAAACAGGGCCCAGCTGGCCCCAGGTAAAGCAGGTTTCAGGGTTTCTATGGAGATATATAGATATACAGATATGTATTTCTTCCTTTTTTCCCCAATACCACAAGAATTGCCTTGGCTTTCTGCTACAAAGCTTTGCAAATACTTCAGACTTGAGGAAGGAGCTGGTACAGAACACAGAATTGCAATTCAGTGCTCCACTGAATTATTTCATGTCAATAAAAGCCAGAAAGGTGACAAATCTTCCGCTGCTGTGATCTTTTGATCAGCTGCCTTGCTCACCTGACTTTTGAAACGCTCGGCTTTAAAAACATTGCCTATTTCAGCTCCCCCCGAGGACAGCAAACCTCCCTTTTCAGCATACTGTGCCGGCACCTGCTCCTCTGTGCTCAGCCTCAGCTCAGAGAACGCGTGCTGGGCACATCCTTAGGCTCCTCTCATGTCCTAAAAAAAATTCCTGGGCCACGACATGAAAAGTCATCCTAGAAATCTCTTTGTCCTAAAATGGCCCCTTTAGGATTTACTCTGAGCTCCGCCTCCTTTGCTTCTCTTCACCAGCAATGAGGTGCACCGGCAGCACCCCCTTTCCCTCTCGAAAGGATTCCCGGTGAGGGATGCTGGCAGGAGCCCGGCCCCGCACCCCTCAGCCCAGCAGCCCAGCCCCGTGGCACAGGCTCGGGATAAGGAGGCGACGGCGGCTCCTCTTCCCCGGCAGCAGGACGCCTATTTCCATCCGAAGGGCGGTTTTGGGAACACCCTCTGGAGCGGAGCCTCCCCTGGAGGAAGGCAGCGAGCAGGAAGGCGACAGGAAGGCGACAAGCGACCCGTGCGAGCTCCACCCGCCCAGCTGCTCGCCCTTTATAGCGGCCGGGAGGAGCCGGGGCCCGGCGG